TTAAACAAAGCCTAGCGCCGCGGCAGGCACGAGGCACGCATCCAGAACCTTTCCTGGGCACTGGGGTGCCCCGTTTTGTCTGTGACCCACCAAGGATTTCCCCAAGCCTCTGGCAATGGAGCACTGAGTGAACAGCACCATCGCCAGGCTGGGGAAACCGAGACCGTGGGACTTGGTCCCCCAGAAGGAGACGCCTGCTCCCCCTTCCAGGGCCTGCAGCTCCCAGGTCCCTGACCCACACCCGAGCTGGGCTTCCCTGCCGCCCCCTCAGTTGGCTGGTGTGGGGGACCCTGTGCATGTGGCGTTCATGCGTCTAAGCGAATCTGCTGCCGCCAACAGCACAGCAGCGCCTCCACAGCCCGGCTGAGCAGGACCACGTGTGTCTTCTCACTTTCCTCGTCACCGCACTGGGTCCCCTCCAGCGAGGGGCAGAGCATTGTGTGGGCCACAGGGAGCCTCGGGTCCAGGCCTTGTAATGGGTGCAGCTCTGCAGGCCACCCTGTTCCCGGGGACTCCACAGCTGGAGGTGAGGCCAGGGCCCCCTCGTCCAGCCGGTGCCGTGACCTCACCTCTGTCCCTTCCCTCCCCGACCCCTCCTCGGTCCTGAGGACCCAGGGCAGCCTCAGGCATGGCCATCAAGTGGCACCACGGGGTCCCTGACAGGCCTACGGGGCTTCTAGGGGATGTGCAGGCGGTTGGTCCTGCCATCACCCAGACCCTTCCCTCCGTCTCCTTCTGCCTGGACCCCTGCTTCTCCAAAACTTCCTGGCCTCCTCTCCTGAGCCGTCTACACACTCTGGCATGTGTGGCCCTCACAGGCAGCGCGCCAGGGGTCAGTCCAAAGTATCTGGCTCAGAAGGGGCAGGAGGCATGTCCACCCCACCCCAAAGCGTGGCGGGAGCCCACCTGTCCCTGGGCCCATCCAATTCCTGCCTCACCGCCTGTGGGACTGGAGGCGGCTTGCAACGATACATGCAGAAAGGTCCAAAAGGAAAATCTATTTAAACCACAGCTGGGGCTGCCAGGCGCGGTGTCGCACGCCTGTCATCCCAGCACATGGGAGGCTGAGGCAGGAGGACTGCAGCGTGTTCAAGGCCAGCCCGGGCTCCACAGTGAGTTCAAGGCCAGCCTGAACTACACAGCAAGACCCTATCTCAAAAAAACAAGCAAACAAACAAACAAAAAAAACCCCACAAAACAGGGATGGGGAAAAGAGAGGGAACAGCGCTCAGGAAGGTGGGTGCAGGTAAGGCAGGGAGTCCCTGGCACCGGACAGGTGTCCTGCTGGGTCCCGCTGCTCTCCAACTACACTGGCCTTGCCCTCCTCGGGATGTCTGGACCCAAACCCATTCCATCAGAACAGGCAGCAGCACCGGATGGCGAAACTTACAGAGCCAGGGAACTGGTTCCCAGCTTGTGTGAAATGAGCACCTACTAAGGGCTGGACACTGTGCTCACGCAGTTCCCCTGTGCACGTCCTGTTAAGATCCCTGACTTGAGGGAAGGGGGGTTCAGAGAGGTTGAGCCTCACACTGAGAGTCACACAGCGCAGAATCCCACCCTCCATCTCAACAGAATCTCCTTAAATCAAAAGTCTAACGCTCACCCATTTCAACATGGAAAGGCTGAACACGCAATAGAGCCCAGGCCTCGAGGGCCCTAGAAAGGAGCTCACACTCTACCCGCGCTCTTGTGGGTTCTAAGAGTTATATTTGCTCTCGGGAGGTGGGCAGGTGGGCAAGACAGGCACAACATCTCTCTTCACAGGTGGGGAAACTGAGGCTGTCTTTGGACTGCCATTTCCCGCTCCCAGGACCCCCGGCCTCTTCTCCTCCCCTCAGCAGCCTGAACCTGTGAAGACCCTCGGGAGGCACTGTCCTCCTGTCCTCCAGCAATACCATGGCTGGGCCTGCGTGTGCCTGCATCCTCCGGATTCCTGGCTCACAAGCAGACTCCAACCCAGCGGGCTGGAAGCGGAGCTGAGATCCTGCTTCCTGTAGGCTGAGCACTGGGGGCCGGGGCTGCAGGGTGAGGCCACAGCCACCCTGCTGGGCGGGGCTCCCGCAGCGCCTCCCTCCTGCCCCACTGTCTCTCTCCTGAGCCTCACGGAGCCCTGTGGGCCTCCCTCATCCCCAAGGAGCCTCCCTGGCCCAGAGGGGTCCTGGGAACAGCCTTGCCCTCTGCCTTTCTGGCTTCTGGGCCAGGCCTGGGAACCAGGCAGGGGCGCCTCCGCCCTGCGAAGCCCTCGTTAAAATTTTGCCCTTGCCCAAGCATCCTCGACTGAGAGCTCGTCCTATTAATTCTCCTGTGCACTTAGAGCCAATAGGCTTTCATTTATTCATTTATCTTGTCTTTCATTCCCCCGCCCCTTCCTCACCAGGCTGGAATTTACAATGCCGTTCTCAGGTGGCCTTGCCTTGCAGAGGCCGGGCGGCCTGGGAGAGAGCGACCAGAACAGAAAGGGGTGTCCGCCCTTTGTCCCCCACTTTCCACTCTCGGATTTGTGCTCGGTTGGCTGGAGGCTGGGCCAGGTGGTTCCGCACCTGTGGACCCCTGCAGGGCTGAGGGGGCCAGGATGGGCTGGCAGCCTCTCCCGCGCCCCCTGGTGGCTGATTGGCCACATGGGCTCTGGCCAGAGGAGTTTTAAACTCCTGTTGTCTGCCTGCTCCCCCAAACCTAGAAACGCAGGGCACGATGTCCCCAAAGTTGGAGCAAGACGAAGAAGTCCAAGGAAAAGGAAAGGCCCAGAAAAACACCGAGAGTAACAACAGCGATAAGCTAACGGCAGCCATCGCGTATGGACCCTCCACTGGTGCTGCACGTACCCAGGGCCTGTGCCCCTTGCTGCTGCAAAAGGGAGAGGCTGGGGCCCGGGGAGGAGCTGGTGGACATGAGCCCAGCTGGTCTCAGGCAGGAGGAGTGACCTTGGCAGGGCTTAGGCAGTGCTTTCCCACAACGACAATGCTTAAAGAGGGATTAGAACAAGACTCGCCCCGGGGCATCCTGGAGAGGATGAAATGGGAGGAGCCACCATAACGGTGAAGTTGTGGTTCGAATCCAGCCCCACACAGCCCCCCTGCGCTTCTCCGGGCCGCAGCGTCCCCATCCTCCTTGTCCGCAATTTGTAATCAGAGGCAGAGCGGATGGCAGCCTGTCATGAAATATTTACATCCATCAAACAGGTGGCACGACGCCAAGGACTCAGCCACGCGGGGTCCTGGGGACGCTCCTCTCCCCCTGCCCTCCTCACCCGTCACCCAAGAGACAGGAAGGGGCGGAGCGCGGTGACGTCAGCTGTGTGGGCTCTGTCTGAGGGGCAGACGGGGCAGCCGGCGGGCAGGGGCAGGGGCACCGGGACCAGCCTCCGCCTGGACAGGGCCCGCGGCGGGCATGTGATGGCCGTCCCTGCCCCTCAGCTCTGCCTGCAAGCTGGGCCTATGATTACAATGTAACTACACCCGTCCCCTGTACATTAAGGCGTTGATTAATATTTAAGAGAAAAAACACAGTTGAGAGGGCACAACACAGAGGTGGCCTCTCCCAGGAAGACTCAGACTTAGACCTGGGCTCCCCTAGGCTGAACCCCACTTCCAGGGCCCAGACCCTGCACCTGCCTTGGAGCTAGGGTGGCCCTGCAGTCCCCAGGGCGCTGCTCTCCCTCCCTCCTTCCCTGACTGGCCCTGGCCCAGCCACCACCCATGGTGACAGCCTTTATCACCACTGACAAGGCCAGGCGGAACCGGAACCGAAGCTTCCAGGCTGGCTGAAGCCACCTCACAGGATGAGAGCCCCGAAGCACAGGGTGGAGGCTCCGGGTGAGTCCTGCAGAACCTGGAGCCACAGCCACCTGGATATGACACCGGACCCTTGCTGTCTCCTCCTGCAGCCGGGTAGCCATGCCCAGCCCCCTGCCAGCATTAGGGCTGCAGACCTCAGTATGGCTGCAGACTGCAGGCTTCAGAGAGCCCTTTAGCTCCCTGACTTGGGGCCAGAACTGTGTCTGGGTATGTGACCTTGGTTGCCTCAGTTTCCCCATGTGTATGACTGGAATGGCAGCAGCTCATGGATTCCACTGGGGGCTAGGAGGATGCATCACAGGAAGGGTGAGCCCGGGCAGGTCAGGACACTTGCTCCGTCCCTCATCCTATTTTGAACACTTTTCTCGGAACCACAGACTCCTCCTCGTGACCATGTGTGATTGTGCGCTGTTAATGCGCCCACTTTACAGGTGACAGGACAGACCCCGAGGACCCCACCCCCAACGCTGCTACTTCCTACAGCACAGGATCAGCCCTATGGGGCAGAAGGAGGGGCTGGTGGAGCGATACCAGTCAGGCTGTTGTCACCCGGGTTCCAGGACTGCCCGTTCAGTGATGTCTGCTCTTACTACCGCCACTGCAAACATCACTTGAGTACTGGCGTCTCCGTGGGTGCGACGAGACCCCTCCCTCTCTAACTGGGGACTGCAGCGACAGTGCCTGAGCATCTGCCTTCCCCATCTCACGGGACTGGCCGTCCTCTTCAGGAGCCCCGTGCAGGTGCCCCGGAAGTGAACCTTCTTCTGCAGAGGCCAGCTCGGGGCTTGGCACACCCTGGCCTCACAGTACTGTCTGCTAGAGGGCAGTGGGGGGCTAAGAGGATGCCCCACAGAAAGCGTAAACCGCGGCAGGCCAGAGGGCAACATCGTTACAAGCAAACAGCATCTCCATGCTGGCCCAGGCTGCTGACTTCCCATGAAGGAGGGAGGGTTTGCCCGCCTGCAAGGCCGTGAACTGTGAACACCACGCTCTTCCGGTGCAGAAACCACCTAGTGCTCAAACTGCCCCCACCCCGAGCGTCACGTGACCCTGGGGCCTTGGGTGGCTTTGCTTCCCGCTCCTTTCCCAGATGGAGCAAAGATCCTCCGGGCCGATCCAAGACCAGGGGAGGGGCCTGCACAATGGTCCTCCTCGCTCACCCACCCCACAGGCCCTCCCACGCCCTCTGGGGGCCTGACTTACGTGGGAGCAGAACCTCTCTGGGGGGTCCCCGCACGTGATGCCCTTGGGCTCCACTTTCACCTTGACGTAGTCCTTCAGGCGCATCACCTTTGGCTGGCAGGCGTAGAACTCCCAGGTGGGGCCCTCGTCTGTGGTCACCCAGGATTTGCAGATGTCGTAGTCCCCGGAGGCCGGCACCAGGCAGTGCAGGAGGAGCGGCAGCAGGTGCAGCATGGCTGTGCAGGCCACAGGGGCGCGGCCCAGAGGCGCCCTGGGGAGGCAGCGGCGGGCTCAGGGGGGACTCCCGCCCTCAGCATGGAAAAGCCACATCTACCAGGCGGCGGGGGCCGGGCTGTCCCAGAGGCTTGAGCGCTGCAGGTTTGCAAACAGCGAGGAACTTGTTTCTTCCAGAAAGCCACCTCAGAAAATTCAGAGCCAGCGTTTCTCAGACTGCTGATGGGCAGATCAAGAAGTTGCCTTAACTTGGCGTCCTCCTAACCTTGGCGTCAACACCTCCCCCGG